ATATATATATATTCCCAAGTCCCTGCAAAAATAAAATGTAAGCACTACTGATGGACAGTGAGTAGTAAAAGGTAACTCAATTATGTATTTGAAATCATCTGCTTTGGTTCATGGCAGCTAGTGGATGCACAATACTGGATTTTAAAAAGTAGAGTGATTTTGGCTCTGATCTTTTCAAAATTATATGCTTCAGACTTGTTTTTCTGCAAAAAACAACTATAAAACTAGACAAAATACATGATATAAGAGCTTTAAAGCATTGTAAAAAAAACAGCATAGGATGTAGATCTTCGAAATGGCCTTCACATCAAGAGGTGGGTTCCTTTCTAGGATTACTTCCACAACTACATTAAAGGGGAGAGGATGTGAAAGTGAGCCAAAGTGGCCGGCATTTGGGAGACCACCCCAGAGTGAGCTGTGCTGAGGGAGATGCAAAAATGTATGTAGAGATATTTTAAATACATAATGAATACTAAATTGTGCATGCAATTAAGATTTCATAAAGCCAGACAGAGAACAGTTACTGAAGGGCAGGGAGATGAAAACAGATTCTACCAGCTGAGCAGTGTTGGGAGCCATTTGCATTTCAGCAACCCAGGATGAGAAAGTCCCTGAGCCCCTCCAGGTGATTCCGGGAGAACTCGCAAAAGAAATGCTGACCCAAGGAGCTTGAACGTGTCCGGATCAGATGCGGATCTTGAAACCACTCGTTTTATCAGATTGCAGCCAGAAACAGATTTAAAGTTTCAAGAATCAGGCTTTGAAAACCCTAAAACCAAACCCAACTGGATCAAGCTGATTTGACAGTCAACTGTCTACTCAAAACAAAATTCAACCAGTTTCATAGAACTTAGACATCTAACCTCTAAATAATATGGAAAAATATCAAGTATAAAAGAATAATCAGGAGAACAAGCAATCAGAATAGACCTACAGATAAACAGGGTGTTTTTAATAGCAGAAAAACATATATTATTATAGTAGAAATTATATATTAAAATAGCAGAAAAAACAATTATTAAAATTTTTAAATATTTAAAGAAAAAAGTTGATAAAGAGTGTAAAGATGAGGGATATCAGGATTATCATCAGAGAAATGGAAATTTAAAACACTGAGCTATAGTCAGGAAGAACGGCACAAAATGTGAAAGAGACGAATGTTCGAGTACTATTGAATTCTCCTGAGAATGAATGTGAGCCAGTTGACGCTTGAAACATGTTTTATAATGAAATGAAAAAAATGGTCCTTCTAAAGTGATATATCAATTGAGAATAATCTTCTAAAGTAGAACATAATGAAAAAATTTTAAGATTAAAATAAAAGGTGAAAGGATTTCTTACCAGGGGAACAGGATTATAGGACGCATTAAAGTAGCTTCTTCAGGTAAAGGTAGTGATACAAAATGTAAAACTAAATCCAGCAAAGATAACAAGATTGCCAGACACAGGAAGCATGCAAGTAAATACAAATATTTTATGTCAACACGTATTTTCAATAGTGACTGTTTAAGGAAAAATAAAACTATATAGCTAGTTATATAAATATATAGAAGTAAAATGTACGTAAAATGTATTGGAAAAGACAACAAGAACTAAATGGAAAATAACCACACTGTTACATAAATTTTTATGAGTTTGCCTTCTTCAATGTGTCATTATCCTAGAATTTACAGTTGCATGTGGGGTACAGTGACAGTGATTTAGGAACAAACAAGCGATCATCTTCAGACTCTTCAGAAATTTGAAACATCCCATCAAAACCAAAAACAGCATGAAAAAATTTTAAACATCATGGAAACTGTATTAGTCTGCTATCTCATCACTGACCCCCAATACCTAAAACCCACATCTTATAGAAGGAGCAAGTGAATTTGTTCACTGTTTCAGTTCATGGTCAGCTGACTCCAAGGCAGCGATGTCATGGTGGCAGCATATGGTAGAGCTGAGCTGCTCAGTTTATGGTGGCCATAAAGCAGAAAAGCAGGACAGTGCCTGAGAAGGACTGACTCTGTACCGCGTATTGTACCCAAGCTCATGCCTCCGTGACCCACCCAGACACATCAGGAGCATAAAACCTCTACTAGGTGTTTCAAAACCCAATGAAATTGGTGATCAGGATTCGTGGGCACAGAAATGCCACAAACTTACAGAATACTATTAATAACTCTTGTCCATTCTTTTCACCAGTGGACTCAGCAATGCCCTTTTGATTTTCCCACATCCCGTGAGAAAACATCAGCTCCTGAAACAATTCACTTATTGGGTCAATGGCTTTGTGATGGTCTCTTGTGTGCTGCCTTGGAATTCTTGGATTTTTTTTTTAACCAATTAATGTAGGAAAAGTTATCAGGAAATTCTAGTCTTTCCCTAAGATTTTACAAAATTTCTCACAGCAGCGTAATAGAAGAATGAGAATTTTTTTCAGGCATGCCTACATAAATTATTATTAACACTGAACAAGCCTTCATGTCTTGCCACAAAATTGTGCTAATTTTGTTTGTCAAAACATATACAATAAATGAGCAGTTACTTGTCAATTGTCAATTGACTTGAACCTCAAAGATAACTCTTTAGCCTTTCTTTTTCAATAGCATTTTGTCTGTTGCCATTATGAGTCACTGGGAAGAGGGGGCATAGTGACAGATATGTTTTTTAAGCAACAGTGATAACATCAGAGAGTAAAAAGTTTCAGCAGGAAAATGCACAGTGTTTATTGTCCTTACCTGGTAGTTTTAGGTTAATGTTCCAATCACTATTTATCACATCTGGTGATCTTTGTCAGAGAACTAAATATATCCAAGTTTCTCTCCCCGCTCCAGAATATAAAGGCTTTACATGTTTTTATTGAAATATGAGATACCATAACTAGCTCATAGAAACTTTCTTGGAACTGTAAGACTTCTCTTAAGTTTTGCTCTCTGTTTCTTTGCTTCTGTGGCATCAGAGTTCTTGCAAAGGACTTGGGAATCCTCAGTAGGGAAAAGAAAAGAAACAGACATTTACAACATGAGTTCATTATTATAAACGACACTTGCAGTAGTTGAAAAATCAGGTATTTACAAGGATGCCCTTGTCCTAACAATAGCATTTAGTCAGGAAAATTGCAGAGAGGTGATTAACTGATTTTAAAAACTTATCTTGGTTAATGTTACATACTGAAGCTTGTTCTCTGGCATGTTGTACAGCAATGTCACCAATTTTGTAAGCTGATGATTTATCACTTTCTTTATAACAATTGTCGTAGTCCCATAAGAGTAATCACATTTCTTATTATTTGTCATCTTTCTGAGTAACTGGTTAAGTGTTCACATGTGTATAAGCAGGGTTCTACCAGTCGGTTTTATTCCAAGAAAGTAATCTTAAAAGTGTTAACCTCTAAATATAAATAAAGTACACATTATTTAAAGTATGAATGATTGTAAATACTACCAGGCTAACAGTGATGAAAATTAAAATATATAAATTAAATAATTTGTAATAATCAAACACTTAAAATGATGAAATATCCTAAACTAGAATGGTTAAAACAATGTGATACAAAGAATTGAAAAAATATACATTAATACCGCGTGCTATGCATTAATGTGATACTAAAAAATAAGAAACGGTTAATATAGCCAAGGACATAGAGGAATCACCATGATGTGCTAAGAAGACAAAGCGTATGTATCTGTGATCACATTTACATAAATTTTCCAACTGGGCAGAACCAGTCTGAGCAGATGGAGTCAGCGGAAGTTGAACGGGGACGAGAATTGGCTGGAGTGAGGGAGACCGGTGGAAATGTCCTCAGTCTCGCCTGAGGTGTGCATCATTAGCACGTGTGCCTTTGTCAAAAGCTGTTGAACAACAACTTTAAAGTTGTTCGTTTAGCTGTGTCTAAAGTATATCACAGTTAAAAAGAATAAAAACTAATTTCTAAAAACCCGAGAAAACAAAGCCCTGCACATTAATCTTCAAAACTAACGATTTCTGCCATTCCCCATACTCTATTGGTATGACTTACTGTTGAAATTTCTAGGTTTTCCAGAGAGTGAAGTTTAAAAAACAACAACAAATATGGGGCTGGGGATTTAGCTCAGTGGTTCGTGGCCTGCTTGCAAGAGCAAGGACCCGAGTTCAATTCCCGATACCAAAAAAACCCCAAAAAACAAAAAACAAATAAAATGCAGAGTGTGAATTTCAAAGCAGTAGTGGTCAAACATAGGTGAGGAACAAATTATTACCAGATTAGTATTTTTGGAATGAAGAGTACCCCCCAAAGATATTCGCATCGTAATTCCCGAAATCTCTGAATGTGGCAAAAGGGACTTAACAGCTGCAGCGAAAGTTCTAACCTTCATGTAGGAAGCCTGTCCTTCTGTGGGCCCAAGCTAATCGCATGAACTTTGAGAAGCAGATAACTCTACAGGTGGAGAGAGAGAGAGAGACTGGCGGATTCCAAGAAATGGGATGAGAGGTGTCATGTGGTTGTGAGATGGCTGGGCTCCCACAGGAAGAGTGAGACAGACCCAAAAGAGACAAACTTGGCCTCCAGCTGAAGCCAGCAAGGATCTAGGCCCTGCAGCCACAGCGCCAAACCCTGGAGAGACTTACTTTGCATCTGCGAGTCCCTAGATACTGGCAACAACCCCAACGGATGTGGCAAATTCTTCCCCACAGCCTCCCAGTCGGTTTCTGTTGACGGAGACCATGACTAGGATCCAGGAGTCTTGAGATAGAGGTGTTCTCTGTGGCCACTCAGTGTTCTGACCTCCAGAACTACAAGGGAATGGTTTGTTTTTGCTGAAACCATCAAGTTTGTTAGAATGTTGCTGGGAGAAAAATAGAAAACTCATACTGTATTTCAGAGTAAGAGTGAAATATCAAGGGGTTTTGATCTTCAGGGGGGTTAAAAACATATTTCATAAATCTTCGCGGAGACATGAAAGGTCTGAGGGAGAAGAGATCGGTAACGTTTTGTACATTTACATTTTAATTTGTATCAGATTCTCTTCCTCCCTCCTGACTCACCATTCCTCTCTTATTTGTTTCCCTGGAGCTTCTCCCTTCTTATTATTCTTCTTCCTTCTTATTGAGAAACGAAAGAAGGGAAAGGAAAATCATATGAGAAGTGGAAAAAACAGAAACAAACTCTTTGCAAATAGGGAAGAGTGGAGGGGTGGAAGGGAGGGCAGGGGAAAGGGGAAAAAATACGAACCAAGTCACATAGTGTACAGGTATAAATTCCCAACGGTGAATGTAACTACTGTGTCCCTAAAATGTACCCATAAACTTAATGAATAAAACAAATCCAAAAACAAAATCCTCTCTAGTTGTAAGCTTTGTTCTCAGCACGACTTTGAGCATGTGGGGTATATGTGGCTTTTTCACTTTCTTTATACATGGGAAAACTTCTCTATCAAGTCAGAATTCTCTTTGACGGCTCCAGCAACGCAGAAAATAAATGATGGCAAATACATTTTATTTTAGATAGAGCCAAAATCTCCTGATGTGGCTTCAGGGTTGTCTGTCTCACGTGCTTCACAAAAAGGCATCAGGCGTGGCCACTCCCCACCCCGGCCTGGGCTATCAGCAATACAGTGCTCTCCCTTCTGTCCCCCCAAATCGTGGCTTCCAGCTACAATCGACCTCTCCCACCTTTCATCCTTACCTTTCTCAGGAGAGCTTTTTATTTTTTTTTTATATTAGAATGTTCAATTTTAATTGTAATAGTTCCAGGAAAAAGCCCGTATATCTCCATCAATATGAGAATGGACAATCAAACTGGCAAATCCATATAACGGTACATAATTCGATATTAGTAGATGGGTTACTTTCAGGAGAGCTTTTTAAGGATGACTGCCACTGCCCCTTTATCAAAAGCAGCTCCCCAAGTGCAATGTGTTTTCCTGCCTGGACAGGATACTTTTTCATGCTTGAGGAAGAGAAAGACTAGAAACCCAAGCATTTGTCCACTGTGGACACTGGGAGGGTAACTTCTCACCATTACTTGAGACAAATGTAATTGCGGGAGATATATCTTTGATTGTTTAATCCAACCCCATCTTAAGACCTTAGTGGATGAGAAAATACTCATTCAACTAAAAAGGAAATTGTGCCCTGGGTCATTATTGAGGAGACACTAACCTAAATGAGAAATCTTAAAGCTCTTTAATGAAAAACTATCTTCTTTCTGGAACATCCACGGTTAGCTCGTTCACATTAACATCTGTGGTTACAACAAGCCTACATGAACAAGCATGGCTACTTTTATAGGGACATAAGAGTCTAACAATAGTAGAAGAACACCTGAATTTATTGGCTTTAGTTAAATGCTCTTGCCCCTAACTTATGTAATTGAAGCACAGTTGCTAGAAAAGATTTATTGTATACTCAGTACCAAATTACCTGTCCACATAAGAATATTCATAGTCTAGTGAAAATAAGCCTGATACCCACAGAGCAATAAAATCTCTCTAACGTTATTTTTTAATTTCAAATCAAATATTTACAGTAAACTATAATAGATACACTAATAAAGTTTTCTCTTTTGTTTCTTTTTCAAAAAACTAAAAGTGTGAAGAGTTTAGAAACAGTAATATGAATTTTGGATACTATATTCATTATCATTAAAATTTAAATCAGGAATTTGGATCAGAATTCAGTGTTTTTATTCTTGGTTTTTCCTCCTCATCGTAAATAACCAATTAATACATTTCCTTCTTTTTGAAATATTAACCTACTTTTAAACAAATGAGCCAACCTTGAATGGAGACAGTGTAGCACTGATGCCCATGTAACGCACACTTGGATTCGCCACAGAAGACAGGTACGGAAGCATTCGAAACTATTTTTCAGTTCCTGAAATCTACGGTGTTTAGCGGACAAGTGAGGGGTGGGTTGCAGAAGACAGAAAAAGAGATGGTCTTTACTAAGTTCATAATTAAGGCTAAGCAAGTGATCCACCATCCTTACAGGATACTTATTTACATAAGGGGATGAGAAATGACACATATGAGTAAACACCGCATAGTTTCTCTGGTGTGAGAGCCTGAAAGTGTAAATAAGGACTAAAAGGTCTAATAGACAATGTGAATTAGGAAGAAAAGGTGTAATGGAAAGAGGACGTGGGAAGGGTCGGGGAAAAGAAAGAAGGGAATGGAATTAATAGGAGAAAAAGAAAAAATGGAAACAAAGTCTTTGTAGATAGGGAGGGGTGGAGGGATTGAAGGGAGGGCAGGGGAATGGGGAAAAAATAAGAACCCAGATGGATTATGTAAAGGTGCAAACTCCCAATGATGAGTGCCATCATATCGTATACCTTCACTGTACCAATAAAGTTAATTTTAAAAAAGAAACGATGCACATTTTACAGGGAGGAAAATTGAAACTCAGACATTTAAAGTCACTCATCCGAGATAAAATTAGTGGGATTTCAGTCCTTACATGTGTGAGCCCAACGCTTCCAATGCTCACTGCCCGACTCTTTGGAAGGAGAAGAAGCCACAGAACAAAATAAACAGCGAAGCGAATAGTCTCCAGCCTGGGTAATGTAATCGGGCCTCAGGTCCTTTGCGGGGACCCACACCAGGAGCGCGAGGCTGCAACGTACAGCAATGTCTCTCGTCATTTCTCCTAGCGAGCTACAGAAAGACATAAAAGGGCAGAGGCCGCTTGCCAGCTTCATGCTTTAGTGACTATAAATGTAAGACGTCTGGGTCTTCTAAAGGCCCTGTCCCAGGGTGACAAGAGGAGTCCATTGTCTCAGGTTAAAAATTAATAAAAGGATGCCAAAAATAAAGCAAAACGACCGCGAGTATCCAGGCAAGCAAGACTAAAAAAAAGCCTATATTTTATTAACTCAAAAGTAGTGCAGAACTCCATAAAGAACAATATACTAATATTTTAAATAAATGCAAACAATATTACTAATTGTTCCTTTTGCTTCAAGCTCCCTGTTGCTTGGGGAGGGGGTGTCACTGATCCGGTGTGACTGTGGGGCACAAGGAAGGACTCCTGAGGAGGACAAGTGAGAACCTGAGTCAAGTATTGGCAGCCTCTTAATTCAGGCAATGGCCGTCGTTAATAACTCAAAGATGTTCTTTTTGCATTTCAAAGCACTTGGAATTGAGCCGCGTCCCTTAGAGCATCCATGGTTACAGTGGCTGCTGGGAAAGGAGCAGTTCTTACATAGTTGTCATTGTTCGTGCTGATGTAGTAGATTTTGTAATTCTTTAGAAAACCAAAGCCTCCGTATTTTACTGCCATCAAGCAGTGTGCTATTTGTTGTCAAAAACCTTCCTTCTGATGGGCCTGTTCGGATGAGATCAGCACAGCACTGAATCATGCCTTGCACGGGACTTGGAGGAAAATCCCCGGGACATATTGGACACTGTGAGAAGGGCTGTGTCCCAGGCCTAGGAGGACAGGGGAAGATGCTGATGCCTTTGAGTCAAACAGAGATTCGAACTGTCAGGTTGGTAAGGCTAGTAAAGTTTAGAAACTTTGTGTATGCAGAGCGATAAAGTATAGTTGAAGAATGTATGCTTGCTGCGATCACCCGGCGGCGTGCGCGTGAGCTCCCGGCCTGCGCGGGAGCTCCCGGCCTGCGCGACAACAGACCCAGGAAGGACCCAAGGACCCCAGAGGGGGTTTTTTTCAGCT